CCCCCCCCCCCTTTTTTTCCATTGAATTAGTGACTGGAAATAAATTTTCCAGAATAGAAATGGGGGAGCATTCAGCCAGAGTCAAGGCTGATCTCAGACACCTGTCATCTCCAGCAAACTGCAATACCCCAGATGCTGAAGGAAAAATTAAAATCAGAGTTTCATTCCTATCTTGCTATCTGGCACACAGGAAAAAATCTTTCTGACAGGGAGAAACATGAAAACTTTATTTCTTGGAGACGAACGTAGAGTCAGCTACATTTTAATTGTAAGAAGTGGAATCACCATCCTGACCGACTGAGTCTGTCTCTGGAGACCTGGAATTGGCTAGGTTACCAGACGGGCTTTAAGCAAATGGAGACGGTATGGGAAGGGACTTTGCGAAACTCCAGGCATCTGGCACCCATGTTTACCCAAGAATTACGCAGAAGAAGAGCCATAAAAGAAGCGACTGAAGTACTTACAACTGCTCCCACAGCACCCCAAAGCTTTACGGAACAGGGAGATGAGCTGAAAAGGCTATTAGATGGCTTAGAATGTGCTACGTGGGCAAAACTAAAAGTGAGGCTGGATCTCACAGCTCACGTCAGCATCACAGCCAAGGGGCTGACGCAGGGGACAGGACAGCTGTGTCAATACAGCCACACCCTCGGGTGGCACTCTCTCCCACCACTGTTCCTGTGACAGCTGAACTCAGCAAAAAAGGATCTTTCGGTTCCATCCGCAGCTCACCTGCACCTTCCCAACGCTAAGCTTCCAGTTTAAGAATATAAACAAAGAGTAGTCAATCTAAAAAACCAGACTGTTTACACAGTAACAATTAGAGAATAACTTTAAAATGTTTCATATGTAGCAATTAAGAAACTATGGGAATAATCATATAGGCCTGGCCAGGTAGCTCAGTTGGTTGGAGCATCATCCCGATAGGCTATGGTTGCAGGTTCGATCCCCGGTCACGGAACATACAAGACTCAACCAATGATACATCAATAATCGGAACAACAAATCAGTGTCTCTCTCTCTCTCTTTCTCTCCCTTTTCCTCTCTCTCTCTAAAATGAATCGATAAAAATTTTTTAAAAAGAATAATCATATAGTGTGCATTACATTGAAAATACTAGTATACAGGTGTTGACCAGAAATCAACACCTAAATACTATATTCTAATCCTATTACATCACTTTTCTGAGGGTTAACTGTTTAATTAAAATAAATGAATTTAAGTACAAGATATAATATGTCAAAAATTTTGACCAAACAACAGAATTTTTACGATTAGGATGTCTATACTTCTGATATCATTTAAGCAATAACTAGAAAATTCAAGAAATTTCTATTATTTCCACTGTATAATATTTTATGGTGTGAAATTTCATCTTTGATGTTCAAAACTGGTAAATATTTTATTTTTTAGATAAAGCAGTACTGATGTCAATTTTTTGAAAATTCTATCAAGAAACGAGCATGAATGCATCAGTAACAAATCAGAGACTCACTCTGACATTTTCACACACAGGAGGAAGAGAGATTTTACGTGTAACACGTTCCTGAGGAAAGGAAGCTATTCTGAGCCCAGATGTTACTGCACATGCCAGCTATTCTGAAAAAGGCTAACGACAGGTCACAGTCTTAGCAAGGAAAACACAGTCCACATATGACTAAAATGAATGATGAATTCCTTTGTAGTTGGGAAGGTTTCCTTCTTCCCTTTGAAGTCAGTTATATCAGCCGATCTCTTGATGTCGTCTGGTTTCAGTGAAGGGTGTGATTAGAGACACTTACCCTAGTCAGACGGACAGGGGTTGGAGGAGATCTTGACTTAATCACTTTCTAATGACAAAACCTTGATGCAAATACTGATATTCTCCAAATTTCAGCTTTCTTAGCTTAGAAGTGTGGACAATAATAATACCCGCATCACAGGGTGGCTGTGTTGATTAAAGGAAATACTCCCTGCACATCACTCTGCAGGACTTGGCGATAAAAACTGTGATATCGCAAAAATCATTTTGCCTTCAATTATTTAACTACTAGAGAGGATGAGTTGTGATTATATAACTATGTGTGAAACACTTAGAAAGACAGTCCTATTAGAAGCCCTTAAAATACTAGCAATAGTATCAGTCCTCTATTCTTGCTATTTCACACTCAGTCACTAAATCCCTACCTTTTCCCCAACGCCGCCAACTGAGCCAATGGATCCTGGAGGCCCTTGTGGTCCCTGCAGTAGAGGAAAAGGAGCACAGTTATCCTTATTATAATGACATGATAAATTCATGAATATTAATCCAGTTGTTCTCAAAGAAAGATAAACATGTGCGAGAATATCCCAAGTCACTGGAAGGATGGGACAAAAATCATGTCCTTTACTGTGTCGTCCAATTTCCTGGACGACCAGTAATTTAATCATATTAGACTGATTTTCACGTTCGCCAGAATTTTGAAGCTAAGGCTGGAGACTTTCCAGCCCTAGTCATGGCGGTTGGTTCACGGGACATAAATTCCATCTTTCTACCGCTGAACGTGTCCTATTTAGAGGATGATTTTGTAAATTTTTTTGGTGGATCAAAGTATGACTCTGACTAGGAATGATGTGATCCATGCCCCAAACAGCAGACACCATCTCTCAACCTTATTGATCAGGGGCAATGAAAGCCTGTGTAGTGCATCTGCTCCAGGCACGCGCTGGCCGGCCTGCACGTTAAAAGCAGACATGACAGAAGAGCAGGGAAGACAAGAATAAGTGACTGGTCTTCGTGAAAAGGTGCAGACGCAAGGAGCAGTCCCTCAAAGCCTGCGCATTTGTTAACGGTAAAAGATAAATAGGCGTTACACTTCAAAATCCTATCCTGTTGGAACAGCGAGTCAGTCATTAAGCTCGGGGAGATCATTTGGACAATTGAGAGGGGACATTTTACCTGGGGAAAGGGACACGATATATTGCCACGCACATATCACCCTAACATATTGTGTAGCGTGAAAATCCAGAACGCAAGGCTTTTAGATAAAAGTCACTGACAATAGATGCGCACATAGAAGATGTTCGGAGTACAGTCAAAGCCGATCACAAACCATCTCCTCAAGCCGCTGTCAGAGACAAAGGTTACACCTGAGACGATTCAGTGACATTAAATAGTCATTACATGCAAGGTTGCCTTAGCGTGTCAAACTGAACAAATGTGGTTACTATAATAAAGCTCATTTATTTCTCCCCAATCAATAGATATTGAATGTGAACTTTGTACCTATTTTATATTTGTGGCGATCAGTTCCCTAAAAAGCCTGTTTCTTTTCTTGTAAAATGAAGTAGATGATCCCTAAGCTCTGAGCACTTAAGCCTGAATAGCAGTATGATGACCCCCCCGTATTTCAGATTCAGCTGCCAGTCAATGTACCGACACCCACACACTTCAAAACAGTTAGCACCGAGTTCACAGTCCTTACATCAGCTCCGTTGGGACCTTGAGGACCTCTCGGGCCCGGAGGGCCAGGTGGACCCTGGAAGAGAAGAACATTAGGGTTTATGAGGACCCAACTCAAATGCGTTTCTGATATTTTCATTTCCCAGTTAAGGAGGCTGAATGAAGTTTCAGCCTGTGAAATCACAGTCGGTGGAGCGTATCAGGGTTATGAGACGTTCTTGATGGATACAACACCCCGTGAGCAAGTGCTTTTTTACACATAGCAACAGGAAAATTAAAACTACAGGGAAACATTTGGATTAAAATTTTAAAAAGTCTTTTGCTACTACCTGGTACAATGACTTCATAATACAACCGGAAATATTTTATGCCAGAATATTCTAGAATGCTAGTGTGTAAAAGAAATATAAAGCTGGACCAAGAAAGGAGCCTGGGTAGCTCTAGAACACTTCATTCTGTGGAGTACTTTAAAATTTGTATAAATATTTTTGTCCGCTCCCGTGTTCCATATGCTAGAACTGGAATATGGTGAGCTATCTGGTTGTCTTTCTGAAACAGTGGCCCTCGCCTTGTGCATTAAAACTCCCCTGGACACTTCTTACACAACACGGATGGCCAGAGCCCGTGACCTCAGGCTTGTGATGAGTGGGGAGAGAATACCGGGCCATTCGTGTTTTCATAAAGGTCACCGCTTATGTTAACATCATGGTTGAAAAGCTTGTGTCCTGCTGGCTGTTACCGGAGGTGGGGGAGGGTGCACTGATATTCAGGGAACCGCAGCAGCGCATCCAGAGGGAGGCCTGCTATCGTCTGACTGCCTGGAGTCTTAGTTACGGGATCAGCAGTGTTACTACGTCCCCTGTTTTTATCGTGATGCTAAAAATCATTTCTTACTTAAAGAAAATAAAATCTAATGTTCACGTGTAAAGTTATCAAGCATGTATTTTTGAGGAAGTGAAAACCGAGATGATGTTTATTGGAAGCAAGGCGCAATTAGGAAATGCATTCATTACATTTCATTATTAATTTCAATTACCTTCCCTAATTGTTTCCTTACCCAATAGAGTGCTTAACAAACAAACCTATGTACTTCAGATTTTCAGCTGAACTATTAAGACTTAGAGCAGAAAGCCAGAATCAATCAATGGAAATTATGCCATCGCATTCTAATTAAGATAGAATCCCTTATTAAATCAAGATTTTCAAAATACAATTAATTTTGAATACGGTGCTAGCATTGGCTCATTACTCAAATCCTGGGTGACTACTGTCCTCGCTCCTCACGGAAGTCCAGAGCCACACACTCGTCAGTAACTGAAGCTCGGCAGTTCACACACCCCTCGGGACGCACACACACAAACGACCCCGTATAACAGCACATGCGCCAACGAAGGCCGCGCGGCGCTGTCCAGGGGGCGGCCGAAGAGCCCAGAGGCCCCGCGGGATGAGAGGGACGCGGGTCGCAGGTGCAACCGCAGAGGAAGGGAGAGCGTCCGTGTGGAGGTCTCGGCCTTCTAGCACTACTCTGTCCACATTAATGCCCCGAAGACAACCAGCACCACGCGCATCCGCGGCCTCCAGCCGGTACTTAGGCCTGAAATCTTACCATGGGACCAACATCTCCGTTTTCACCTTTTTCGCCAGGGGGGCCAGGCAGACCCTAAGAAAATAAACCAGAAAAACAGAGTCACTCATTTATTTAAAAAGAAATGCTTGGCCAGTTTCTAATATAAAACCAAAACTTAAAAAGTTAAGTAAGGAATTAAAATTAACATGAAAATTAAGATTCAGAAACTAAGATGTCAAAATACGTACAATGCAAGTATTGACTACCTAGGATAAAATCTTATATCTAGACTTACAAGTAAAACGTATGCTTTTTATAATATCATAGTGTTTGAGTTTGGTTGCAAGAGCTCACAGAACAGGCTGTGCTCACATTTCACCCGGCTGTGTCGTTGTGGGAAAATTATTCTCCTTTCCCTTGACCTTTCTCACTAGTTCCCCCGCTCAGAATGGTTTACGTTTTTCCTCTTTCGTATCACAACACATTGTGCACACTTGAATCGTATACAGCACTTAAAAACACAATTTTGCCACTCGGTTTTGTACTTATAATCATGAGCTTTTAGGTGTTGATGGTTTTTTATCTCTAGCAATGAGCAGAGGGCCAGTCCAAATCTAGGATTTCAATAAAATGTTGACTTAATGAATGAATGATTGAATTCTGAGAAGATAAATCAACAGAAAAAGCTACATGGAATAAAATATTTCTCATAACACTATGATAGTTAGAATTCTCAATTACCTCAAGTGTTTAATCAGAAAACAGAGCTAAATAAATTTGGTTATATAAACTAACAGACTATCATAAGACTATTCATATGATACTAATACTTTAAATATGAGTAGTGTACAAGAAATAAAATACAAAAATGAATGTGCATAGTATAAATTTAACTGTAAAGTGTCTATAATAGGGAGGATGATGATTGAACAGAAATAGTAAAAGTGGTCATATTTTTCAGTCTAGTAGAATTATGGAGTGTTTTAATTTTAAATGTTTTCATTGTTATTATTTGCATGTATCTCATACACTCTATAAATATTTTATTTTTAAAGCGTGTGTGATAGTATCTCAGGTGTAATCTATTTAAGAAATAAAAAAACACCACGATGCAAAAGCTCTATACTCCTGCTGGTACTTTAGGAAATTATTTAGGGAGAACTTCATTGCAGTGGCTGCAAATTATTTGGCCACGATCCACAGTCATAACTACATTTTACTCCTCCCTAAACATGCAGAGGCAGACTAGCTAGAGCACGAGCTTCAGAGGTCATACTTGCCCTTCATGTACAGCGGACAGCCTTTGATATTTTTATTTATTTAACTTATCCTGTTGCATTTCATTTTCTATGCTGGTCACAACCCACTAAATTGTTTTGATGACCCTCTACTCCCACCTGACTCTCCGTTTGGAGAGAGGGCGCTTTACCAAGTATATTTATAAACTTTTTAAAAATTGGGCATAGATTCATTTTTATGAGGGAATCTTAAGTACTGATTTCTAATGGACAACATAACCAGGATTTCGTTTCTTTTTTATTGAATGTCAGATGGATGTCTGGGAAAACAGCCCATGACACGTACTTCCCAGACAGTTACCATCGTCTGCCGGCAGGTTCTAGAAATAAGAGAAGTTCCCGGGAGGAAGCAGCCAGGCCGTGTCTCAGGTTCCAGTCCCCTGGAAGGCCCCTGGGCGAGTGGCTAACGTGAGACTCCGAGAGACCGCCTCGGAGACTCGGGGTCATTTGGTGGAGCGTAAGTTCTTTAGCATGCGAGTAGAAATGAACACAGCTGAAATAAGTATTTCGTTTTTAAGTCAGTTTTCCTCAGCAGTGTGCGTTGCAACTTAGACGTAACCCAGTTCTTCTCAACGCCACGCAAACGGACAGTCGCGTTCCCCGCATTTGCCCGGGCTCCGGCCGCCCTTTCCTGGGGAGCGCGCCTGTTGGGGGCCCCGCGGCGAATGGTGCGTAAATGTCAGCTCGGAGTTTCCTTTTATTCCGGAACAAGCCCGGCTCTGCATTAAGCCTTTTCTTTATGCACATGGTCATTCCCGATATTAATTCCATAGGAACCTCCTAATAGGAGAAACTTGAAACACGTATTTCTTTTTGATGAAGTTTGAGTTGATGGAGACAGAATGTTCTCCTTATTAAAATTAATAGAGACATAATGAGTCAGATTCTCTTGCTGCAGGGAGCCAGATGTCCTAAATGACACCCAGTGTGACTCGGTTTTCATGGGTCCGAAGTTTCTCCGAGAGAGTAAGTTACACAGGGAGAGATTCTGTTCTAAGGTCTGTCAGTTTAAAATCATCTGCCACGTAAGCGATGAAATAAAGAAATGACTTTAGGCCAAGAATGTTCATTCCATATGTGTCCTCTGCATAGGCAAAGAGTAAACAACCAACTGGAAACCCAAGTCATTTAACCAGTACGTTATATCATTATTATTTATGTCTATTATAATTGCTAATATCTGTGCTGCCGTGAAGACTCAATGAAAGAATGTAGATCAGTTATCAACATGTTAATTACATTAGCATCTTTACAGATTCCTGATTTAAAGAGGCAGCTATGGGGAAATATAATCAATTCCTTAGTGTATTGATTTCCTGAGTACCCTCATCAAACAACATATTTATTATGTTGTGGGAATGAAGATAATTTTTTATTGAATATTGTATGAATATAAACTATAAGGCATCTTCTTTAACCATGAGAACTAAATTCCTAAATTAAGCCCATACAGAATTCAGAGCAATCTGTTAAATGAAAAAGCGGAAAATGAATGGTAACATCCCCATTGGCAATCTTATGTTTAATGCCTGGTGGTTGTTTTCAAGTGTGCGTGTTTCTCACACATGCTGATATGTAGTTCTCATGACTGCTTATTATTGTCTAATTAGTGTAAAAGAGTTAAACAGAAATAGGAAAATGAAGTCTTTGCATTTTCCAAGTTTAAAAGGAGTTATTTTGGCATTAAAATAAGAGCAGAAAATGCTAATACCATGTTCACCGGCAGACAGCCATTGAGTATTATACCAATAATAGTTGTGATAATATAATTAATTATATTGTTTACAATGTAATTTGTAAAATTATATATATAAGCTATTTGATATTAAAAATCAATATTCTGGGACCTGACTTGTGAAAATAAAGATAAAAAATTAAATTTATACAAATTCAACTTCTATTTACTTTTCTATAGCTTCACAAATTTTTAAGTACAGTGAATAGATGATTTAATTTGCACATTTCTAAAATTTTGAGTGTGGCATAACTAACATCCACATGGCACCCAAATATTATTTAAAACAAAATTTTATAATCTTCCAGAGGATCAGTAGGTGTAGAATTAGCAGGTGGAAAAGGAAAGCTGGCTGTTTCCAAAGTTTGTAGGAAGCTGTGAGTGTCAGGTGCAAGGAAGGAGAACAGCTCCGAGCAGGCACCCATTACACGGGGTTTGGCCTGCGAGTCCGGCTGAGGCACCTATCTGAAAATGTCTTAGCCTAAAAGGTTTTACAATAATACATTTCCTCTCCTGAATGTGCTCGATAAAGTACAAATCATAACTTTAAATGTAACTTTAAATCATCCATTTACTGTTCATTTGTTTATTTTACCCATTACTCTTTAACATTTGCTGCTGGTGTTTTTCTGTTGGTGGTTGTGATTGGCAGTTAGCTGTTTCTCAAAATGTTGCTAGTTTTTGCTAGCCACCTGAAATACTAATTTCCTGCTATGAGATCTGTGGGGGAAAAACAAAACAAAAAACACTGCTAACATCTTCCTTTTGAATATCAGACTTAAATAAGATTAATTTTTTAAACATGATGAGAATAAATAAAGCAGAGGTAATACCTAAGACGGGCTAAATAAACACCAGGAACAGAAACCGGCGCTGATACACTTCAGAAAAATGAATATTAATGGGTAAAAAGAAGCTGGGGTTCAGATACACATTCAAGAAAAAGTCCTTATGGTTAAACACGTACCAAAGCCCTGCTGTGTTTTACATGCGCCAGAAAACCTGCTGTGCGAAGGAGGTGGGAGTAACAGTCCACGAGGCGGACAGCCACTCACCTGAAGGCCGATGGGCCCCGGCGGTCCTGGGAAGCCTCTTGCCCCCTCATCCCCCTTCTGTCCAAACATCCCCTGCTGGCCTCTGGGACCTGGCTCACCGTCGCCTCCCTGGGGGACAGCAAGGAAAATGATCACAAACTGGAAAGTCACGATGCAGACACAAGTCGTCAGAAAAGTATGGCTGTTTCTAATTTAATCAGAGCTGGTCTGTATCCCAGTAAACGAGTAATAAGTAGATTAAATGTCCATTATCTGCTGCAAATATTCCGTTGTCTGTTTGGTTTGTAGTCTCTGTTTCTGGAGTATGGCTGATTTTTATTTTCTTATGTACCCAAGCGAAGGAAAAGTTTTGTAATAAGGGAAAAATACTGTTCAGAATTGGCTACAAATGCTTCTCAAATGGTTAGGGTCTATTTGAAGATGCAGTCACAATGGTTTTTGTTTACGAAGATCAGCTTGGTTAGCTCTGTTAGATCATTTAAATTTCAGTCAATATGAAGCACGATATGAAATAGACTGGTTATGTGACAGTTCATAAATCTAATCAGGGACTGCATGGGTTTAGATCGGCGGAACAGAGAGGAATACTTACAGCAATTCCAGGGGCACCGACCGGGCCCTGAAGACCTGGGGGACCAGGAGGACCCTGTGGGGAGATAAAAATCAGTCATTTTGAAACGGAAGCCAGAAGAGCCTCAGCTGTATAGTGCGGGGCATTTGGCCGATCAGAATCTATTCTTTGTAATAAGAAGTCTTTCAATGTTGTGCAGTCACCCATTATTTATTTCAGTCCTCGAGACTCAGACATGCATAGTTGCAATCAATTTTAAATCGGCAGTTATTGAAAACACTCCTATCTGCAATGCTGGGGATATTTAAGAATGGATTTCTGTGCTAACATACATAGTAAAGTTTCACATTTGAAAATTTTCAAAATACTAGATCTCTTTAATAAGATATGTATGAGTCAGAACAAGCACATGAAAAATTAGTCTATGTGCAATCATTGTAAAAGAATATTAGGATGTGGGAGGCTCTATATATGTGGAATGTAGTGATACATGAAATTTAGAATTTTCTTCATATGTAAACACATGGAAACTGAATGTTATTTATTAAGTACACCAGAACTCCTTCTTGTGAACACAGGATTTTAATAAGTGTATTAGTCTTATATGCATAAATATTTCTTGCTAACTTCCTTTTATATGTAAATAACTGATAAGGCCTTATAAAATATCCAGGCATGAAAGAAAAAGAGTCATTGGCCCATGTGGCTCAGTGGTTGAGTGTCATCCCATGCACCAGGAGGTCACAGGTTCGATTCCCGGTCAGGGCACATGCCCTGGTTGCAGGCTTGATCCCCAGTAGGGGGTGTGCAGGAGGCGGCCAAGCGATGTTTCTCATTGATGTTTCTCTCTCTCTCTCTCTCTGCCTCTCCCTTCCCTTCCTCCTGCTGAAATCAATAAAAACATACTTAAAAAAAGAAAAGAGTCTTTGGATTATATTGCCCTATATCGTAACTGTTCCAAGTTGGGAAAAGTGCTTGAAGCAAAGTTCTGAATGTGTGGTCCCTGGATCACTGGGTACCTGAAGCCCTTTCAGGTTGGAATTAGGTCAGGATTCTTTTCATAACAATGAAGATTTGACTTGCTTTTAAACTGTATGAAAATTTGAACTAATGATGGTGGTAAAACTGCTGGTTGGAATTATTGTATATATTTGAATATACATTGAATATGATGTTGGCTGTAGGTTTGTCATTTTGGCCTTTATTACGTTGAGGTGTGATCCCTCTATTCCCACTTTGCTGAGAGTTTTTATCATAAATGGGCGCTGGATTTTATCAGGTGCTTCTTCTGTGTCTATTGATGTGATCATGTGGTTTTAATCCTTCTATTTGTTTATGGGGCGTATCACGTTTATTGATTTGTGGATATTTTACCAACCTTGCATCCCCCGAATAAATCCCATTTGGTCATGGTGTATGATTTTTTAATGTATTGCTGGATTTGGTTTGCTAATATTCTGTTGAGGATCTTAGCATCTATGTTCCTCAGGGATATTGGCCTATAATTTTCTTTCTTTGTAGTGTCTTTATCTGGTTTTGGAATTAGGATAATGCTGGCCTCCTAAGATGAGTTTGGGAGTCTTCCCTGCTCTTGAATTTTTTGGAATAGTTTGAGAAGGATAGTGAAAAGTCAATTAGAATTGACTGACTACAAAGTAATACTAAATGTAAACTATAATTGAAAAATAAAATTTAAATAAAAAAAATAGAGTTGACTGAATCCCAAATGGACGAGTATTGATATTATCTCCCGATACGTAAGCAGTACCAATCAAATCTATCCATAGTTATTAGCAAAAGGAATTCCATGAATAATGCCCCCTTAATAAAAAGTAGGAAACTCACATTTTCTCCTTTGTCACCCTTGCTGCCCTTTTGTCCAGGTTCACCAATTTCACCCTGTATTTGAGAGTTTGAGGTAGAGTTTATCTCTCATGTCACACCAATGCATCGTCAGCACTCTCCTCTCGCGTTAAATCTGACACTGAGACAATTACATGCTATTGTTTAAGTCGTCAAAGTCTAGGTTCCCTCTGCTTCTCGCTTTCTGGTATGAACCACCATATAGACAAAAGTCCACTGGACTCTGAGGAGTATTGCAACTGGATTTTAATTTACAAAATCAATTTTGTCTGAAAAATCACTGCTATTCACTGATAACAGAAGTACGCTGATTTACAAAAAAATATAATTGCACATTGATTGAAAATTATTTTTTCTCCTAGTTTTCAAAATGTTCGAATGTTGCACATTATCAGAGTACCACAAAAAGTGTTACAGCGCCTCACAGGAACATTAGAAAATATCTTAAATTCTGACACAACAGCCACACATTCAGAAGGAAGAGCTTGGAATCTTTCCTGCTAGGAAAAGAGAGGCGCAGGTTCTCAGACTCGCTGGCGGCTCCTTCTCAAGCCCTTGCTCCGCAGCATCCTAGCGGAGGGCTGGGCACGGACACGTAACGCGTTAATTTCACATTTATTTCAGAAGCATCGGAGTTGAACATAAATGAGCACTTTGGGCACCTGTTTTTTCTCACTACCTTTGTTCTTGAACACACTCCCTTTCCTTGTTTACATCCCACCTGTTTCAGGGGAGAGCTGCTAAACCTCAGCCTCCGAAGTAAACATTTTCAGCACATGAAGACGCAGGAAACTTTACCAAAGATAGCTTCAGATTTGGCATCTAGTCTTAGAAAGATTAAATTTAAGGATCTTGAGGGAAAATTCGCTTTTCACAGGATACACTAAGGAATAAAGAAGACCGACCTTGTCTCCGTCTTCTCCGGGGGAGCCAGCGGGCCCAGCCGGCCCCGGGAGACCCACGGGGCCCTGCACTCCGTCTCTGCCGGCGGGGCCTTGGGGACCCTTCTCCCCCTGGATTGAAAATCCAACAGACCGTTACTTTACTGCCCATTAACTGTTTGCCACAATTTTAAGGTGCAGCGCTAACAGTCATACTCAAATCCCTCCATTCTTTCATGACCAAGAACACTACCCTTGAGGTCAATGTATGTAGGAATCTCAGGCTGTGGTCCACAGATATAACTGATTCACTTTGGAATTTTTATTTTGAACACACATTTTCTAACCAAGTATTGTATCTTGATAAATCAGATGCTGGATGTTTGCAAAACTTGGCCGAGCCTTTTACTCTCCCGTGGTGATACGGGGCAGTGGCTGTTAGGCCTAAACATTCATTTGCTCGTGGCCCAACTTTGCAGTGTACAGCTTCAGGTGTCAACTTTTTACATTTTTAACAAATGCTTCATGGATTTTCCTACAGTTTGATATTTTAATTTATTGCTGCTTTCACTTATTCAAAATGACAAGGCTGCTAACTTTTTTTTGGTTTTGTTTTGCTTTTTTTGTGCCTTTTTCTGTTACCCACAAATTCTGCCCCAGGGGACATGGCTTCATCTTAATATTCTAAACGTTTCCAAAAGATAATAGACTACATAAAACGATCATTTTAATTCAGGAACATTCAAGTAATATCACAAACAGCAATGAGAGAAGATCTCAGCCGGCCTGTGCATCCGAACCAACTTGCTAAAACTAATGTCCTCGTGATAAAAAGTATTTTTAGAATTATAGGCTTAAACTATACGTATTTTAAGACTTGCGTGTATACAGAAGTGTTAAACTCGTATTTTTGAGTATGCTGTCTGCAGTTTTCATCTACCTTTCCTGAATGAGTTTGTGTTTGAATCTTGGAGAATGAGAGAAGGCTATTTTTGTTTTAGAAAATTAATCTGATTAAATCGAAAGCAGGGACAAGATCTTGGGACGAGATCTTGACAAAGACACATAAACCCAGTGAACAGAATACAGCCCATGATCACTGATGTATAAAATTTTTAAAACCCAGTAACTCTAAGATGAAATCACTGGTCAGGTGTTTCCCATCTCACTCACTGGAGGTGAAAACTCCCATCACATGAGAAGGGCAGCCACCTTCGATGGGTGTCCCTTGCATGGATACAACTGGAAATAAAGTTGTATTACAGGAAGAGTGAGAGACGCACACTTTCTAATATACAGCAGCGAGGTACAGTTTGAATCAAAACTCCAATTTTATTCTTTTTAAAGGAGCCGAATCAGAAGCCTTTTACATTAATAATATCCAACTGTCTCGCAGGTATTAGGGATTCATAAAGTGTGGAAAATGTCATCTCATCTAATTGAAGTTGAAATTTTCTCTACTATAAAAATAAAAAAGTGTGTTCGTATGCCAGGCACATGTGCAGTGAGGACGCAGTGGAGTATGAAGGGCGAATATCCCTGAATAAAAAGTCCTAACTTGTGCGGGGTGCAGGGTAATGTTTCTCGCCTAGAAACTACTTACAGGAGCCCCCTTCTCTCCGGCCGGGCCGGGAGGGCCTTGGGGTCCTGGGCGCCCCGGCAGCCCAATGGGGCCGGCTGTCCCTGCCGATCCTCGCTCTCCTGGCGAGCCCTGCACAGGAGAGAAAAGGTGCGCTGTTAGCCATGGTGGAAAAGGCGATACCGGCTTTTTAGTAAAAAAAGTGGAACCTTATAGCAAAATAACAACGTAAAGGTGACTTGTAGACGATTATAAGATCATAAACAAAAACAGTTGTACTCACTATTTGAAAGATTAAATTCTAGTCCAATATTAAAGTTAGGAAATATTGATAAGATGAAATAATTTCAAAGGTATATATATATTTAATATTTTTAAAGATGTCATCTTTTTCATGAGTGTAAAATTATAAGATTAGAGATATGCGTTGGTCTTTTTAGAAGGTCTGTGAACATAATGGATATGTTTCAAAAAATATATAGGATCTAAATGCACTCGTCTAGTTAACAGAAGTTCCCCAAATTTGCAGGAGAAAGCACCAGCTGAATCTATACTTTCCTAAGATGATGCGGTATAAAAATTAGGACAAATACATATTTCCTTAATTGGACACATTATGATGGGCAAGTACATAAAAATAACTCATGGCTTTTACTTAAGAATGCTTGTTGGTTTTATAGTGAAGTGTGTTTAATATTTAAAATTAAATGGATATTTTCGTGTCTATGGAGAGAGAGAATGCTGATTTGACTCAATGACAGTGTCTGGAGTTGGTAGGTATTATATTAATGTTTCTATTATACAAAGCTTAGCTATTTTCATGACTCCCTGGGAATATTAATAAGATTAAATTTCAGATTGCCATCTTGCTTATGGAACCTGCATTAAAATTAACAATGAAAATGTATTACTTTTCTGTAGTTAAACTACTGCTCATGGTATTGTCACAGCCCATTAATTTCAAAACGGTGGATGCAAACTTTTTCGATGGGTGTTTGCTCCCTAAAGTACGGCTGCCCTTTCCTTGTTCATTAGTTATTTTAAACATCCTGTAAGTCTAGATATTTGTAATAACACCATGCTCTGCAATGATTTTATTTCATGCATTTATAAACGAAAAGGGAAAATCTCCGATGATACACAGCGATTAAGCAAATCATATTACAGACTCGCAAGTCTTATTGAAGTATCCCCAGGCCAGCTTTGCAAAGAATAAGCCTATGAATCCTCTAGTTCCCACTGATTCTCTAGAGAAGTCCCACTTTTTTAAAAAATGAAAATTTAAACCCAGTAATAAAACGAGAACCCATTCCCACATTCCACAAAAATACAGTGAGAGTCTGAGCCTGGGCGCCGACTGGGAGCACGGACTGTGCTACGGTGGGCGCCTGCCCTTGCCGAGCACACCGCAGAGGCATTTTCCCATACGGGGTAGACATCTGTAGTGACAGAAATTACTCCATTTCTCTGTAACTGGCAATAATAAGGACAGATTGCTTTGTAATGGTCAGATCAATAATTACATCTAAAACAAGTATGTTTGGGTTTAAACATAGGTTAAATAGATACTGATAACCCCCACAAGGGTGGAATTTTTGCTTGTTTTTGTTTTTCACTTTTTTCACCGATCTCCAGCAATTTGAGTAGTTGCTGGTACACAGTAGGTCCTCAGTAAACGAGTCGGCTGTGTGTCGCCTTTTCCTTCCCAGCACTGGATGCACTAGCCTCCTCCCATCCTGAGCAAACCATTAACCTCTCTCTGACTCACTTTTCTCGCCAATAGGGACAGAAATAGCCTTTCGTCGGGTTTTTGTGATGTCAGTGGTTTTATGATATTTAAAGCTCTCTGAACAATGTCTTTCTGAAATGGTGAATGCAGCGGAGTTAGAGAACTGTTTCAAACAGATCTCGAATAATTGCAGAAGTGAAATGTTTTAAAGAGAGCACTGAGGTCCGGAGGTGACACTGGCGGCATGTCTGAGGCCAGGCTGCTAAAGGCAGGCAGAGCTTTTCTACCTACAGTACTTTCCCGCCTCACTTACTGCCTGTCAAAAGCTTAAAAGAGGGTCAGAGGTAAAAAAAATTAAAGTCCCCATCAACTTTTCATCTAATAATCTGAGTGATTAATAATGAGCATTGCCTAGATTTATGAAATAAAGAAACTGATAAAGGAGTACGCTTGAAATAAGATAAATTAATGGCCTATAACAGAGGGATTCATAGAATGACCTTGACAAGTCACCCACGACCAATGTGACAGCAACGGGAACACCTAGTCGTGGGGACCACGGCCAGATGAGTGGCATATGAAAACACGGGCACACATCCTCGCATGTAAGTGGATTAAGTATAAATTGGTAAACAGATTAGTAAGTTAATTGCCCTAGTGGTAACCGTTCAGCTGTAGTGAGGTTAAACACGAAGACGCCCTGCCAAACCAACCTTTTTTTATTTACGAAGTAACCCTGTTTACTCATCTCTCCAGGGCAGTGATGAATCTTTTACACATCGAAAGCGCTTAACTGGAAACGCCTTGGAGAAAAGGGGGCTGAAAACTCTAGAAGCATCGTTATCCCAAAGTGCGACTTAAGTAGCAAGGGACACGTGACACGTTGAAGGTTCCCCGAGGCAACGGTGGGTGCGGGCTCCGGGCGCGTGAGGAGGGCCGTCCGCGGCGCCCTGCTGTTCAGGGCCGACCACCCAGCCCGGCCACGCGCCTCCAGCTGCAGGTGGGCGCTTACCTGCGTTAAAGGGCGGGGTTTCTAGTTCTCTGTTTAGTTGCTTGCTTTGTAATTTTAATTTCACTTTCCATTTGCAGCTGACATTCAGTACTGTTTTGTAGGAGCCAGGCGACCAGCATAGTGGTTAGACTGTCCCGGGAAGCCCAGCACCCTCGGGCGCCGTGCGTGGCCGTCACAATACTGCAGGTGCCGCTCTCTGTGCTGTGACGGGCCCGTCACGGCCGATTCTGGCTTCGCCCAGCCCCAGCCCCTGCTCCCTGGGCGCCATCAGCACGTCCCCTGCCACCGAGCGCGCTGCGTTTCCGCTTTGCTGCTTCCGTCCCTCCCGTCCCAGCTCCCTGCTCTGACCTCGCTGGCCTCGCGGGGCCGGCAGGGCCCCCTCCCCTCACGGCGGTGGGGACAGGAGCAGGGGCCTCGGTTCGTGGTCTGGGAGCTGGAGGGGACCGGCTGCAACGCCCAGGCCGCCGGCTCCGGCCTGTTCACTGGGGGCCCCACGCTCCGGGGCCTTTGGAGAGTCCCTGAAATTGGTGAACAGAGACCTCCCCCGCGTTCAGTTAAAAGGCAGCCGGGACGGAGACACATAAACCAAACGTTCCTAGGAGCCGGAGCTCTACAAGGCAAAGGTGAACAAATGCGTGAGCGGCCCCAAAGGCTGCCCCTTTCTCTTTAAGGCCAAGTCGGCCTTCACGGCGAGACTAGTTTGTGGTAATTCCCGTTTTGCAGATCACAGCTAGTTCCGGTCGGACAAGCTGAACATTCTGATGAAATCTCAGGCACTGCCGGAGCCGAAAGCACAGACCCTGATGATTAACTGGAAGTCCTGTAGTATCTCAGCGCCCGGTCACTGATCCCCACCACCATCTCCATCCTGTATCTTTCTTTTCAACCCTCACCCAAGGATATATTTTCCAGGGCTTTTTCAGAGACAGTGGAAGGGAGAGAAGGAGAGAAAGATCGATGTGAGAGGGACACAGAGACTGGTTGCCTCCTGCTCAAGCGCAGACCAAGGCTGGGGATCGAGCCTGCAACCCAGGTACGTGCCCTTGGCTGGAATCGAACCCAGGACCCTTTAGTCCGAAGGCTGACGCTCTAACCACTGAGCAAAACCAGCCAGGGCAACATGCTTTCTCTTTAAAAACATAGCACAGGACTGGATTAGTCAGCAGGTGTAACGCTTCGAAAAACTTGGCCTTCCTTGTTCGAGGGATAAGCAAAAGGCGGGGACAAGAAGGCCTCTGGAACGGGTGTAGGAAAAAGTTAGAACTGATAGGAATTGTACAAGCAGGGTTTATAAACGCCTGAGGAAAGGTGCCAGGGAGAAGAAATAGCAGCCCACAAAGAGGAAAAGCGGGTCCGAAGCCTCGGGGAGCAGTCGTGACACGCGGGGAAGGGGTGCGGGCGATGTGTTACAGCATCGTGGGCGTGGGGCAGGGTCTCCCAGCCGCCGCGGGTCTGCCCCCCATGCTTTCTGCGCGAGCTCCCACTTCTGGGCAGCATCAGAAGTGTGGCCGTAAGTAGAGGGGGCTTCTATTGGGAACACTATTCTATTTCTTTCAATCGTCTCGGTTTTTGAGAAATAATGGTTGACAATGAGAGGACCCCATAGCAGAAAAAATATATAGACAGAGGAGAGATTATGTAGGGAATACATTTCCTTAATGTTGCTTTATGAAAATAAAAAAAGGGGCGGAGGGGACATCTGTAATGCTTTCAACAATAAAGATAAGTTAAATATATATATGTTTATGTACATAAACATACACGTATATATGTGGTAGAAGCCATCTGAGGATTTGCTTGCATAATATATATCTATTTGCCTGTATTGTACGTTTACATAAATATAAAGCGTGGGTTCAGTGTGTGTTCAACATGTGAGGAAAAGGCTGCCTTGCCCTCTCTCTTGCTGATCAGCACCTGTTGTTTTGGGCCTTGTATGTGCATCACGACAGCCACTTAGTGAGCAAACCCCCGAGCCCAGGAGGCAGGGCCGTGCTTTGGCTGGTGCCTGTTACCAGCTCTTGGATACAGCATCGTGCATACGGTGAGCATGTGAAGTCTGTCAGGCTTTAGAAGCCCAAAGTCACAGCACCCTGTTGGGATGATTTTGTCTTCAGTGAAAGCATTAAAAATGTCTCAATATATATTTACTCCTAGTAGCAAAACCTTTAAAAAAACTATGACATCCCAGGTCTGTGCTAAGATGATCCAAACAGTGATGAGCACTTCAGGACTCTGTGTGGCTCTCAAAAAATTGCTTTTTGTAATAAAACTGATTTTTTATTTATAGCTCCAACTCCAACATAATTCCTTTAGGCAAAAGTCATTTTTCTCATCTTGGCTTCTTTGTTCTATCTTTTAATATATCACTTATTTATAATTTGTTATTTTATCTACTTCCTATCTGTCTTCCTCCATAAGCCATAAGCTCTTTGTAGGAAATGTCCGCCTAGTAAATCTATTTTTCAGTTTAAAAGATTGGTATGTTCAGATATTTATTTAATTATAGTTTTTCCACAAAAAGACTTATAGCAGCTTACAGGGGAGATATAGAATATAAATGACTATCAATAAGAAATAGTTAAGAAAAATAGATAAGCAAATAACTTTTTATTGGCATAAAATAGAACCAACAACGGTAGTAATCTAAAAAATGCATACTACAGGCCATGATCCATTGGTGGGTTATGAAATCAATTCAATGAGTCATGTCCAGAATTTTAAAATATTGACTATACTAAAATATAATAGAGAATATGAAAGTATATCACAGGTACTATTTTATATAGCGAGTTGTATTAAAAAAGTTATAGTCTTAAACCAAAGAGTTATCTTCCGTATTGTCTCAGCTTTGACTCCATGATTTCTGTAAGCTAAAGCAAAAAGAGAAGGCCCTAGTTTTCATAACTTATGAAAATATATACCAGGTAACTGATGACTAAATTACAAATATTTCTCCAGCTAGGATTCGCAAGAGATTCCTTCTGGGGACATTCATATCAAGGGCCCTGCCTAAAGCGATCTCCTGTGTCCTCAAGCAGGACGTCTGGCTGATCAATGCTACAGGTCACTGTTCCTCTGAACACGTGCCGGTGGCCTCACAGCTGGACCTGGCCGAGGCCAGGAAACTCGCAGGTACAGGATGTCACAGTAACAGGATACGAATAGCCTGCTCCGTGTTTCTGACCAAATGGGTTATAAATAAAGAGAACGGGTGTCCAAGGATCCAACCTGTCCCTTTGTTTAAGTAGTTTAATCTTAGATTCATTCGAATTAAGTATCTGTTATAAAGAGCACATATAGGAATACTGAAGCCCAGTGAGCCGGAATATTAGCTCCTCTGACTCGCTTCCTTTGGACAAAATTGTTCATAGGAGTACAGGAGACTCAAGAGGACTTGGAAAAATGAAAGTAAAGGAGGGGGAGAACTTAAGTAGATATTGAGTGTGAAAGAGACAAGATCTGGAAATGAGTCTATGGAATGAGCTACTATGGATCTGTGTCTTCCAAGGACTGCAAAGTTGGGCAAGTTATTTATGTTCTCTAAGCCCCGGGTCTCTTGCCTTTAAAAGTGGAATGATAGCATCTGCCTGGCCGGGTTGCAAAGACCAAATGAGCTAACGATTGTAAAGTCCGTAGCATCGACAATAGAAAAAATAAACTTCTAATATTATTTTATTTTCTATTTCCTTTACCGTTCGCATTCTTTATTCACATACTTTCCCCCCAAGGACTCGTCAGTTTAGCACTTTTCCCCTCATATGAGTAACCGCAGTATCTCCATCCCTCTCTGCCCCCGAGTCTCAATCCTGCACGAACCACTGGTCAGTGTCCCTAAGGCAACGTTAATACGAGATTGACGTAGACTCCGATCTGTCAGCGTCAAGGAGCTCTGCGGGAGAGTCTAGTACCTGTATCGGTTGTGATGCAATTTCATTCCCTCTCACCAGCTGGCCTATTGTTTCCCTCTGATATTTTGATGTCACATTATTTGCAGAGTAGAGCCTGCTTTCTTTCTTGCCAAAGCCATCATGCCCCTGATTTGTTGTTTTTAATATTAACTTCAAAGTAACCCACAGCACATCCTGAACCTCAAAAAATAAGAATTAACATGGACCAATTTTCTGAATAAGTTAGCGGTTACATCCAGAGACTCAGTGGCTTTTTGGTTTCTTGTTCATTTTGACCTTAGCCATTTGGAATAAAAGCTTCTCAGAACCAGATTTCACATGCACGGTAACTGCTGTGAATGGAGTAAACGGG